TGCTCATATTTTGCCCCCAACAGTTGAGGAAAGTCCCTTTCTTCCTATAGTTGTTAGTTTTTCCATCTATCAATGCAGTGGTTTGATTGGAAATTAAACTTTCATTTTAAATTAAATATTAACCCAGCCTTTTGTGTTGACTTCATTTGGGGCTATAATAGGATGCCTAGACCTGTTTTTATTTTATTTTTTTTCATCCTGCGTGTCGCTTCATATCTTTTTCTGAAAAAATCAGAGAACAACAAATTAAATAGGTGTGACCTAATGTACCTGGTAAGCCACATTGCTACAGTAATATAAGTTCAAGGCTATTACAACTCACATAATACATCTCAAGGATTTTATAGATTTTCAAGCCAATTCTATAGAATGCATGCACTTTGATGATATTTTGAGAACTTTGATCCCTGAGGTCCTAAATACGTACATGGGAAATCTGTTCTCAATGTTGTTCAGTGCTTCCATCTCTGATCAGGACTTTGACAGAGTGGAGCATTCTAACACTATATTCATAGGGGAGAGATAAAAAAAACATTGGGAAAATGCAGAGGAAACATTGGTACATAAAACTTAGGATATATATTAAATAGATGTAAGGCCAAACAATCTATCTCCTTCTCAGGCATTTAAAAGCAGTCTAAGCTTTATTTTTCCGTGAAGGAGGTATCCCTCCTGCAGGAGTATTGTGATCAGGCGTTTTTTTTTGCGTTTGTAGCTGAAACACATGGTTCCCTTTGTTTAATTGGCATATTATTTTATATGCAGGCATGCCCATACAGTGTATGATGATGCACATATTTTTATTTTTACCATAGGTGTTTCGTAGTCAATGTAGTATTACACCCCTACATTTAAAAGGCATTTGGGACTGGCCGCAAAAAAAACTGTTGTTTTGAATAGCGGGGGGGGGGGGGCATGTTTCCTTCAGGCAGATACTAAGGTGGATCATCAGAGACAGCTGTTGCGTCCCCTGTTGTTAAAGTATGGGGGCTGTTTTGAAATGTGTTCGCAGCTAAAAGTCATAGTTCTCTCTGTTGTACATGTATTTCTATGTAATTGGGCATGTGGTGTGCCATTAAGTTCGTGAAGGTGCACATTTTTTTCTTCTCACCGTAGCAGTTTTCATATTGAAGTAAATGGATATTTCAAAAACACCCCTATAATGTCATTGAAATGTTCTCGCTGTACATTGCGATTGAACTGCCATCGGGCGGGTACCGTTTACTTCGCCATACTGTTCCCAATCTGCAAAGTATAAAACTTCACTGAGAATTCTCGCCTATATTTTATATGACTACTTGTTTTGTGTTGTGTTGTAACATTCAAAACGAACTTGTAAATAAATAACTGAAACCAAATACACAGTGAAACCTGAAAGAGGTGCCAGTAATAAGATTTTATATTCACCCAAATATCCATGGCCCCAGATAGACCCAGGGATCCCCTTACCCATGGTATTGCTAACACAGTGATCTACAAGAACACGGAAGCGACATACTGTAGTTTTTTCCCTTCTATAGGAGGGACCCATTGATTTTCTCAGGCAGTAAGATTGTGGTATCGGCTGTAAGCAGGGAGCATGTTGGCTGTCCATCATTTTCCCTTTGTGAGACAGCTTCGGGCAGATTCTGCATGACTAGGCTGTTGTTTGCCCATCAATCAGTAATCGACCGTGTTGTGTTATATACACTCAACACACAGTCCAATACAGGCCAGCAGGCCAGCTCAATAGAACAACATGGCTCTTGGGCAGAAAGGGACACCCAGGGAGCAAAAATACAACAGTTGGTGTACAACCTTCCAAAAGTTGTGTATGACCATTAAAAGTTCCTTAGGCCACAGCAAGTAATTTTTATGGATGACAGCAGCGCGCGCATTAATTTTTGGCAGATTTAGGAAAAAAAAAAGAAATTTTGTTGCCTTATGACAGTACTAGTGGGCAACCTGCCGAAAATGGGCAAAGATGTTTGTTGCCATGTCAGAAGGTGGATGGCAGATAACTATGAAGAGAGGAGACAAGACAAGACTTTGATCTAATGTTTTATTTCTTACTTTGATGCAGTGACATGTGATGCTGGCTGTGTATTATGTGATGTTCCTACTGAATCAAAACCATTTGTACAATGATGGAGTAAAAAAAAAAAAATGTGGGAACCTTGTTTTTTTCGGACCACCTTGTTTTTTTTTTGCCCGCTCGCATTAGATTTGGAGTCTGCGGAGGATGTCATCCATGAAATTTACTTGTTGTGGCCTTACTATGAACTACTCACTTTCACCTGAGTGTCTGACATTATCTGACTGTATAAAATGCCTTTCCCAAGGGCACTACATCAGAACCGGTTTTGAACTTGAGCCAGAACTTCTAAATTCTGAGTCAACTACCCTAACCTCAAGTCCACATGATGCCGTAAGGCCACACCAATTTAATTTCTTGGTTAACGGATTTGCCCGCTTCATTTTTTTCTGATTTGCAAATAAAAATAAAAATTCAGAATCAACTGCAAAATGCTCACATTTTGCCCTGAACAGTTGAAAACAGTCCTTTCATCCTAGTTGTTACAGTTATTCCATCTTTCAATGCAATGGTATCATTAAAAGTTCAAAATTCATTGTTTAAATTTTGAACCAGCCTGGTGTCTTGACTTCATGGCTCCTATCGTACCATTTTGGGCCATAATAGGATGCCTAGGCCTGTTTTTATTTTTTATTTTGTTTTGCCCGCCCGCTCCATTATTTATCTAGAAAAATCCGTTAACCAAGAAATTGGTGTGGCCTAAGGCAAGACAACCATGTTGAGTGCTTTGCAGATACCTGAAAGAAAACTTGTAACAGCTGTTTGATTACTGTAACAGCAGCTCTAAGTGGAGGCAATAATGTTGGGCGCTCAGGTGGGGTGTTATGTGGTCGTTTCCCCTCGCAGAACACCTGCTGAGATTAAACTGGTATCGTTCCTTCCTCTAATAGTAGGCTTGTAAACATACACAGCATGTGGGAGTAAAAGTGCATTAATTATAGATTTACCCGACGTGTGCCTGATGTATGGGTTAACAACTGAATGGTGTGCCATCACATGTACAAATGTATGCCAGGAAAAGTCAGTAAACTGGTTCACAGATTGTAAAAACACTTTCAGGTAAAAAAAAATTGGTTCCGAACTTTTTTACTCTTAACACAAATAAACGACCAACCAACCAACCAACCAACCAACCAACCAACCAACCAACCAACCAACCAACCAACCAACCAACCAACCAACCAACCAACCAACTAACCCATTAGCTATCTAAAGTAAAGATCTCAAATAACCTCCAATTCACAGGCAGTGTACCCACCAGACATGCGTCCTCGGCAGGCATGCAAGCTCCATCCTTGTTAGCCCGATTTCTACAATTCATTCAGCCTGCAAAAGGAGTCTGGTGGAGACTATAGTTACTAGGATGATGGTGCCAGGAAGTCTCAGCGGCCTCTGTGTTGCAATGCCACTAAGCCATGCCACATTTTCTAGTACCACCCATAAGCCTAGCTAGCGACTTGTTTTTTCTGTTAAACATGTAACAGAAAATCTCAGGCCTAATGAAGCCACACAGACTCTGATGTGCCTGACCGAAACTGCCGTACTTATTTCACCCAGAAATCCATTCCATCGTAAATTTTGTCATGCAATTATACCTGGTACTTCTGCGGTAGTAGCATGTTTGTTTAATTTGAATTTCACATGGATTCATGTTTACTTCCGACTTCGTGTTAGTAACGTTCAGGAGGAAACTGGGGAACTCCCACTGTGTCCGTGTTAGTTGCAAGAACAAACGCAAACAAATGAACATGAAAATAAACAAGTATGATGTTTTTAAAAAAAACACAGGCGACGATTTTGTGTTTATCTGTTCCGTTCTTGATACAATTTTTCTTTTCATATAGTACTACGTACACATATAATTTAGAAAGCATCCAGAATTTCTGCTACAGTACGAGGAAAGCGGCCAGGGGTCCAAAATCAGTTAGGCCCAGGCAAATTAATGTTGTGTTTCTAGCCCTTAAAAAATTAGAATCGCTAGATAGGGATTCACTTCTTTTTTTTTATTTGTCTAGGGGCTACATGTATATACATGTACCAAATACACGTGTAGGAGAAATCAGCCGTTCTTCCCCAGCGATATAATTATCTGCACTCTCACTCAAGATGACAATACAGGTGCTGGGCTTGGTAAAAATTTTAATGTAACATTTCAAATCCACGGGTGGGAGGGTGGGAGGATTTTTTCGAGGATTTGCTAGAGTGACTGCACTAAGCACGCTATTAGAACGGAAACCGAATGCGACCTCAGGTCGGAGGTCAGAAGTCATTTCCGTGCAGTCAATTAACTGATTTGGTTCTGCGCCCCAAATACTGACAATTATCTGCACTCTCACTCAAGATGACAATACAGGTGCTGGGCTTGGTAAAAATTTTAATGTAACATTTCAAATCCACCGAGACCAAGCCCATAGGGAGAGAGTAGGGTGGGGAGAGTGCAGTAAGTGTAGTAGTGAGGCCAGAGGCGGAGGGAGGGAAGCCGAAACAAAGGCCACAAGGGCCGAGGGGCTAACAATGAATCCGTAGAACAAGTGCCGAGGGGCTAATAGTGAACTGGTACAACAAGAGCCGACACTGCGGTGCGGCGACAACTGGCTAACAATGAGTGGGCTAAAGAACCGAAGCATATTGCGAAATTGGTAGATAATAAAGGCGAAACTGACGGACAAGCTGAACAACGGGAACTACTAGGTACTAACATGGAAGTTCGCCAAGCCTGTTATGTAAACAGTACAAAACTGACTCAGAGCAGGGCCGCTAGTAGCAGTAACGGGAGATACGGAGGACTGCCCTGTCATGCCTAATACAGGTAGTCAAACTAGTGCTAAGACATGATATATATACATGAGAACAAGATGCCGTACAAGGCATCGGATAAATCAACAGTAGAACAATAAACGTGAGTTCGTGTAGAGTTCGTATGAGTCTATACTGCGGCCCGGTCCGGTTCCAGGAAACCTTGGTTGATTCTGGTCGCAAGTAGAGTAGCGAACGAACGTCGCTGCTCGAAGGAGCTGTCAAGGTACGACTGGAAAGCGTCCGAGCTCCAGTCACCGAGCAGTTTGATGAGCTGAGGATCTGCTCCGCAATGCCAAGCGAATGTCGCTCCGCCGCGGCGGAAACTATGGCCGGAGTAGTCACCGGACGGCAGTCCAGCGGCCGCGAGCAGAGTTTTGAGATGTGCCACCAGAGAGTCGTGTGTCAATGATACCAACCTGCCCGCCGAGCCCGGCACGAGGAAGGCTGGAGAGTCCGATCCAACCGGGAGAAGGCTGCACATGTTGACGTACGCATGTCGTGGGCACAGGGGATGGCCGGGAATGGCCGGCACAGGAAGCAGCAGGACCCTCTGCTTGAACTGTAGAGTCTTGGACCATGTTATACGCACCACAAGTCCGTCCGAAGTGACACGGATAGCACCCCGAGTCAGGTGCTTGCCTGGGTCAAACGCAGACGTTGTCTTAGGCACGAGATTCGACTTCCGAAGTAGTGTGAAGAAGGCAACGGTGTATGCCGCCCACAAGGTGGCATGAAGCGGTCTATTTAGATCCAGGTGATCCCGCAGCCGTAGTAGGATAGCCGGAGTAATGGGAAGTTTACGCTGCGGAACGTGCTGGGATTGTCGGCGGAACGAGGAAAGGACAAGACGTAGCTCGAACGCGTCAGATGGCGGAGGCTCGCACCCGTGGAATCGTTGGAGCAGTCTGGCACCGTGGATGTAGATCTGGACCGTGCTGGGGCTCTTCAAGGAGCGTGAGAGGAACTGAGCGTATCTGGTCAGAGTCCTCGCGTCGGTGGAATGGCTGTAAGCCGGAAATACTCACAGAACAACAGGAACGCTTCCACTGAGTCCGTAAGTTAGCGTAGGTACCCGCGGCAAATGCAGACCTCTTGGCCGCCTCGACTTCATGGTCCAAGCGCTGCAGCTGCGTGTGATGACCTGTAAAATTACAACTGAGTCAGTAAATCGAAGTGCTGCAACGATACTTCTACCTCACAGACGTGCATGTGTGCTGATAAACGCAGAAACTCGTTCTGGTGGTAGTTGGAAGACGTCCAGCGACTGAGGTGATCAGCAAGACGATTCTCGAGGCCAGGGATGTGAATGGCGCGAAGCTCGAACTGCCCTACGGCCGCACAGAGCCACAGATTCCGTAAGCAGGTTTGGAG